AATCGTATAAAAATCGGCGGTTACGATTAATCGGAAAAATCTAATAATCGTCAGTTAATCGTAATCGGAATCGGAATCGTTTCAACACTACTATCTTCATTGCCATTTTTTTGAAAAATCGCTTTTTATTAAAAATCTGAGCCAGATAGGTATATATAGAAACCCTAGTATAGTTTGAAAGAGCATTTAAATCTTCTTCGACCTATTTTAAAAAATACATAGTGTTGTATTTGAAATACTGAAGTTTTTATGTAATATAAATATTTAAAAGAGACCGGCAATTTTTGATACCCCTGTATACATTTAATAAAACAATAAAAAATTTTAGTAAAGTTTATTCTATGTCTTCAAAGTCAGCACAAGAATTAACTCTGTAAGTAATGTACAGGGTGTTGACAAATTTTTTATTATAGCATGCATATTTGAATATCTTTAAATATCTCAAAACCCACAACATTTAAGCATATTAAACTCTTATAACAAATGTCTTATTTTATGCCCAAGAATTCAAAAAATGAAATAAAATACCGGGTGTTCCATAAGAAAAATATAACTCTTTGGTATGGATCTTAGTTCTGACACACCCTGTATATTTGAAAATAATTTTAAATTATGCACATTCCCTCTCTTACATATCCGATAAAATTTTTTGTTTCTAATCGCTTTCCATTTTCGTATAATCAACAGAGGCGAATGAGGTGCCCCACCCTGTATAATTCGAGTATTTAAAATTTAAAAAAAACAAATCATTTTTAGATGGTACATCCTACAGGAGTTCGTCGTTTTGCAAGGCCCACTTGTACGCTGTTTTGTTAATTCTGTATTAGATAAGAAAGTTTTTTATTTAAATTAATAGCCCCCCTATACACTAGAAGATTTGGCCTGGGGACTTGGTCTGCGGATTATACCGCGTACTTGGCTTGTCATATACGAAAAATCTCGTATTTTGAAAGGCTCAATCTGGCCTGCCGACTTAGACCGTGCACACATTGACAGCTGTGGCCATTAAACCAAAATACTACTACATCTATATCTCTGACTACTGCTAACTGCTACTAACGAACAATTTGTTTCGTGTGGTCTGTTTTCGTTTAAATGTTTTGTTCATTATTCATTAAGGAGATTTATTTTTATATTAATGTTAATCGTTAGGCAACCAGTATTTCTTTTGCATAATCAAAACCATGACGACTGTCTCGCGGCCGTCATTCAAGGCCGAGTGTCACGGCCTTGAATTTTTACTCCCAACGCGCGTAAAGAACTTGAAAACAAACGGTAATTAAATAGGAACTCCACTGGGAACGATTTTCGCTCAGTAGTCAGCTAAGTTTTCGTATTGTATCTCTGCTATCATAGAACTAATCGCAGCGAAAATTTCGCTGGAACCTGTCACGAACTAAAACGAGCGAAACTAAACTACGATTCGAATCTTCGTTCATATATTTTCGTTTTGTTTCGGTCAAGTAGCCACTGACGCATTAAAAAGTATGGAAGCTGATTTTTACAAATCTTATCTTCGCTTAGTTTAGTTTCGCTCGCAGTGGCCGCCCGCCTTTTGAACGAAGATTCGAATCGTAGTTTAGTTTCGCTCGTTTTAGTTCGTGACAGGTTCCAGCGAATTTTTCGCAGCGATTAATTCTATGATAGCAGAGATACAATACGAAAACTTAGCTGACTACTGAGGAAAAATCGTTCCCAGAGGAGTTCCTATTTAATTACCGTTTGTTTTCAAGTTCTTTACGCGCGTTGGGAGTAAAAATTCAATGCCGTGACACTCGGCCTTGAATGACGGCCGCGAGACAGTCGTCATGGTTTTGATTATGCCAAAGAAATACTGGTTGCCTAACGATTAACATTAATTTAAAAATAAATCCCCAAAATGAATAATGAACAAAACATTTAAACAAAAACAGACCACACGATACAAATTGTTCGTTAGTAGCAGTTAGCAGTAGTCAGAGATATAGATGTAGTAGTATTTTGGTTTAATGGCCACAGCTGTCAATGTGTGCACGGTCTAAGTCGGCAGGCCAGATTGAGCCTTTCAAAATACGAGATTTTTTGTATATGACAAGCCAAGTCCGCGGTATAATCCGCAGACCAAGTCCCCAGGCCAAATCTTCTAGTGTATAGGGGGGCTATTAATTTAAATAAAAAACTTTCTTATCTAATACAGAATTAATAAAACAGCGTACAAGTGGGCCTTGCAAAACGACGAACTCCTGTAGGATGTACCATCTAAAAATTATTTTTTTTTTAATTTTAAATACTCGAATTATACAGGGTGGGGCACCTCATTCGCCTCTGTTGATTATACGAAAATGGAAAGATTTAGAAACAAAATTTTTTATCGGATATATAGAGAGGGAATGTGCATAATTTAAAATTATTTTCAAATATCCAGGGTGTGTCAGAACTAAGATCCATACCAAAGTTATATTTTTTCTTAATCCAAACCAAACACCCGGTATTTTATTTCATTTTTGAATTCTTGGGCATAAAATAAGACATTTGTTATAAGGGTTTAATATGCTTAAATGTTTTGGTTTTTGAGATATTTAAAGATATTCAAATATGCATGCTATAATAAAAAAGTTTGTCAACACCCTGTACATTACTTTACGGAGTTAATTCTTGTGCTGACTTTGAAGACATAGGAATAAACTTTACTAAAATTTTTTTATTGTTTCATTAAATGTATACAGGGGTATCAAAAATTGCCGGTCTCTTTTAAATATTTATATTACATAAAAACTTCGGTATTTCAAATACAACACTATGTATTTTTTAAATAGGTCGAAGAAGATTTAAATGCTCTTTCAAACTATATTAGGGTTTCCTATACCTATCTGGCTCAGATTTTTAATAAAAAGCGATTTTTCAAAAAAATGGCAATGAAGATCAGTAGTCAGCTAAGTTTTCGTATTGTATCTCTGCTATCATAGAACTAATCGCAGCGAAAATTTCGCTGGAACCTGTCACGAACTAAAACGAGCGAAACTAAACTACGATTCGAATCTTCGTTCATATATTTTCGTTTTGTTTCGGTCAAGTGCCGCTGACGCATTAAAAAGTATGGAAGCTAATTTTTACAAATCTTATCTTCGCTTAGTTTAGTTTCGCTCGCAGTGGCCGCCCGCCTTTTGAACGAAGATTCGAATCGTAGTTTAGTTTCGCTCGTTTTAATTCGTGACAGGTTCCAGCGAAATTTTCGCAGCGATTAGTTCTATGATAGCAGAGATACAATACGAAAACTTAGCTGACTACTGAGCGAAAATCGTTCTCAGTGGAGTTCCCATTTAATTACACTACTTAACACTAAAAAAATTATCTGAATCGGCTTATATTGTTTCATAATCAGGTCGGTTAATAAAAATATTTGCAAGCAATTTTAATTTCATATCACATCTAGTTTTGCCACCACTACATATCATATTGGGTCTCATAAAAATTTTTGTAAAACGCTTAAACAAAGACGGTCCTGCTTTTCAATTTCTCAAAAGTTTTCGAAGCTTAGCAAAGCAAAAATCAAAGAAGGCGTATTTGTTGATTCGGACATTAAAAAGCTGATTGAAGATTCATCTTTCACATCTACTCTTAACCCAACTGAAAAAGAAGCATGGAACGCTTTTATAGATGTAAAAACTTTCTTGGTAACAACAATCCGCCGACTTTCGTTACAAAATAAAAGTGATGCTAGACTGCTACTATAAATGGGATGCAATAAATATGTTTTTAAAACTGCATTTCCTCCATTCCCGTTTGAGTTTTTTCCCGAAAAATACGGGCTCAGTTAGCGGTGAACAAGGAGAACTGTTTCATCAAGATATTGCCACAATTGAGAGGCGTTACTTCAGGGAAGATGGGAACCTACTATGCTAGCAGATTACCGTTGAGCCTCGTCAGAGATACTCTCTCCATCTCAGTATAAGAGAAAAGCCAGTCAGACCAAAAAAACTTTGCCTTTCCAGTCAAAACATAAGTGAAGATAAGAAGTAGGTACTTTAGTTTCCAGAAAAATTGTGATTTTTGACCTGCCATATTATCTAGAAACTGTGATGTGATGGAAAACTTTCATTTATTTATTTTTATTAAGTTAGTAGTAAGAAATATTAATTACATAGTAAGACCCCAGATAATTTAAAAATTTTGAAATTTGTTAAGTAGTGTTACCGTTTGCTTTCATATTCTTAGCTTAGTTTAGTTATGCTAGCAGTGGCCGCCTGCCTTATCGTTAAGGCTTTATCGTTAACTCTCGAAAACTGATTGCTAGTATATTTAATGTATATCTTCTAAAATCAATTTATTGGGATTTATATTAATTAATTATTAATGTTTGAATCAAAGCGATTTTTTGTTTCATCGCATTTTTATCAAACAAAATTATCTCTTTTCGAATATATTTTAATTAAATTTAAGCATTTTAATTTGTTTGGGACTGCTACAGCTGATTGATTAAATAAGAGGGTCGTTGTGATAATTATATATTTAAATCCGGATAAATCTTTCAGCTCGACAAATTAAATTCGAGGCTCTGTGACGTTTTTTCTCTTCTGTTTGACGATTTTCAGGGATATTTTCCACGATTTTTTAATGTTGTTATCTCGAATACAAAGAATAAAGAAAAAAACTATTTAAAATATTTAAATGCAACTATTCGAGAATACTTTAGTTTTTTTTTACACAGATACGTCTACAAAAACCGTTGACGTTCTGTTAAAATGACAAAGTTAAGCTTCAAAAATTAACAATTACTACCTGATAACAATTACTTAATAACGTAAAACCAAAAAGTTTCAAATTTTCTGTATGATTATTTTTATTAGCCGACCATCCCAATAGGTATGGTAGGTTATTAGGATCGGCAAAAAAAAAGTTTTTTTAATTTCACTCAAAATGAGTTATTTGGATCATAAATGACCTAAATACAAAATATTTTCATGGTGTCTGTCTGTCTGTCTGCCGTCTGTAACACGAT